GAGAGGCCAGGGACGATGGTCCAGTGTGTCTAGATTCTATGGAGAGGCCAGGGACGATGGTCCAGTGTGTCTAGATTCTATGGAGAGGCCAGGGATGATGGTCCAGTTTGTCTAGATTCTATGGAGAGGCCAGGGACGATGGTCTAGTTTGTCTAGATTCTATGGAGAGGCAGGCTCTGGGCCAGGACTAGTGGCTTGTAAGTGCTGGGCCACGGCTTGCACGGCTCTTTGTAGAAAGGAAGTCCAGAACCTTCCAGAAGTCCACACTGGCTCAGGGGCACACAGAGGCCGAACTGAAGTAGTTCTGTGCCAAGAACCTCGCACACCAGAGGTGCTCAACAGAGTCACTCCCCTCCTCCCTCCCTGCCATCTTCCCGCTGTCTCCCCACCGAGTCATCCCACCCCCCTCATGCTGCCTTTCCATCCCGGACAAACGCCTTCTGTGGACTGAAGGAAATTCTGAATGGAGGGGTCTGAATGATGAATGTCTAAACCCAAGCAGTCACATGCGTTGGGCTGTGATCCACGTAGTTGGTGGTTCAAAACCACCAGCAGCTCCGCAGGAGAAAGACTGGGCTTTCAACTCCTATCCACCGTCAGGGTCTTGGAAACCATAAGCCGGGAGTCAGCGTTGACACGGTGGCAACCAGTTTGGCGTCTTGGTTACTAGGTTTCCTAGGTATGAATTAGTCCTCACGATGCAGCAAACATCTGTCCCATGCCCAGACAATTCCAAACGACCTCCTCTCTTTCTGCTGGCTCCTCACTATAGGGGTGCCATCCCCCCAACTTAAACTCGTGTTGTGCTCAGCCTTCTTGCTACAGACCCGGCTTGGGAAGGCGGGGCAGGCCGGTGTGCCAGCAAACAGGAAGGCGAGAGCCGGTGCCGGGTGGAGGACAGCGGGTGCAGGAGGGTATCAGTGTGGGAGCTGCTGGAAGGGGCACTGACTGGGTGCAGGAGGCCTGGCCCCGGCCCTGGCGTTGACACCGTGCTGTGTCTGACCCAGCCTGCTCCCTCTGCCTGCAGGATCCCCACTTGTAATGTGCGTGCACTGAATTAGGGGGTCCCGTTCTACCTCGTACCAGAGCCTGTGGGGTGCTCTGACCCTGGTCTGGAGGTTTGCAGCAATATGGGGGTTCCTGGAGCCCTCAGGGGTAGACAGCTCCCCAGGGTCAGGCAGGGGCTCTGGCTGGAGAGGATTCTGGGGTCTCTTCTGAGCCCATAGCCCACCCTCTCCTTTCCTCTTGCAGTGTACGAGGTGGTCACTGCCACCGGGGATGTTCGAGGCGCAGGGACAGATGCCAATGTCTTCATCACCATTTTTGGAGAGAACGGGCTCTCTCCCAAGCTCCACCTCACCAGCAAGTGAGTACCCACGAGCCTGCATGTGGCCGTGGTGGGGAGGGTGGCTCTGGAGCTCAGGGCTGGCTTGATGCTCTGGGTAGAGGACAGGGCTGCTCACAGGTGTGTTGAGGGGGATGGGACAGACCATGTATTGGGGGTAGGTGTTTCCTGTACCCTCCTGTCAACTCTCCTTAGCACCCACCTCCTCCGCCCTTAGCTTTTATGGGTAAGAACGTCTAACATGCACCGCAGCACTCCCGGAAGCCCTTGATATGAGAGAGGAAATGCTCAGGACTAAGAAACCAGGGTCCAGGACCAGCGTCCACCTGTGAGCTGCCGTCTGCCTTTGGCCAAGTTTCTTTGCTCCCGGGGTCTCAGCTCCCTAGCCCAACACCTGGAAGTGATGAATCCCCTTTGACCAAAGTCAAACAGCTGTGGGGAGGAGGGCACCAGAGGGTGCCCATGAGGGTGTGAGGAACTTACCACGCTCGGCCACGAAGTATCGCCAGGGACTGCAGTAGGAAGCCCGAGGCCAACCAGCACAGACACAAGTCAGCACGTGTGTGCTTGTGTGTGTGTAGCTGTGCATGTGTGTGTGTCTGTGTGATCGTTTGATGGGTCCACGAGTCCTTGGGTTTGTGTGCACTTGAGTGTGAATACTTGTGTGTGAGTGTGTGTGTGTGTGACATCTTCCATATTCTTATAACTCCCCAGGAGCAGGGATCATTGTCTTTTTGATCCTCTCTCCACCACTCACGCACACGTACAGAGAGCGTGCACCTGCAAAGGCAAGAACCCGTCAGCAGAGTCATGGACTCTCCGAGGCGTTTACGTCTCTAGGGGTGGTCTTGTCAGCTGCGTCCAGGCTGCTCCAGTGGACCGGAAATTGGTCGGCTGGTTCTGGGCCCACCACGTTCCCATCTTTCCCTGTCTGTGGTGACTTTTGATCATCTTACCCAGTGGGGTTCTGAGTACAATTCTACTTCAGCCAACTGTTCTACAGCCACTCCCCCCAAGGCAAGCAAGCAAAGAAGCCAGCAAATGCTACACCTTTTCTCTATGGGGAAACTGAGGCCTGGAGAGGCTCAGTGAGCAGCTCAAAGTAGCTCCTGAAGCTTTTGATGGTAAAGGTGGTCCTCAAACCCCAGCCTCTTCATGCAAACAGTGCCCTTGACCACTGGGCTGTATGTCCTTGGAGGGTCAATAGGAGACTCCCCTCGGTCCTCCTGGGCTCCAGGTAGTGACCCTCTGGGGTTGGTGCTTGGACACCTCCAACAGCATCAGTGGAAACCACAGAGGGATGGGGTCCACAGGCCAGGTGATCCCCGTGGTCAACAGTGTACTTGGAAAGTGGGCTGTGGCATGAAGGGGGTCGCATCAAAGCGGAGTAACGTCCTATTTTGTTCATTTCTGCAGAACAGGGTACCTGCCTTCCTGCACTGTTTCCCCTGTGGAGGGGCTTTCATGTGGAGTCTTTCCCTCGAATGATGTGGGCACGGTAAAGAGAATACATGAAATGTCCATCCTCTTTGCCATTCCTCCCCCGAGGGTCCCCTGCACGGAGAAGCCACAAGACCCTGGGGGGTTGGTCAGGCTGGTTTCTGGAGCCCCAGCCTGCCTTATTTTACATGAAAGGGCACCTCCCTCCTTTTGTGATGGTCCCTCCCAGTCTGTCCGCCTTTTGTCCATCCAGTATCTTCAGGCTCTTCCTCCTCACCTGTTCATGTCAAACATCCTCCCCCCTCCCAGGAAGGCCCTTTTAACACCTGTGTGGTCTGTGTCTGAGTCCCCTTTTCAAGGGTTTGACTCGGTCTTCTCTCTGTTAGGGTCGGAAGACTGCGTCACCAGAGAGGAGGTGTAGGGCATCAGTGAGCTGGTCGGCCCAGGAGATCTTCCTAAAACACAAGCCAACTGCTGGCGTTGAGTTGGTGCTGACTCCTGGAGACCTCATGTGGAGTAGAACGAGTCCAAGGGCTCCGAGCTGTAACTTTTCACGGGCAGACCGCCAGAGCTTTCTCCTAAGGGTCATAGGCCCTTACTCGACTATTCACAACTCCTGGGGGGCTTCCTGTTGCCGTGTGCCCAGGGGATTGTGACTCACAGTGATTTCACCGCTATTAAGGGTTCCTACCCTGGAGCAGCAGAGCCAATTGACTGACTCCAAGTTAGAGAGAAAAGGTGTTTGTTTACCTGAGGCTGACTGCAACACAAGCTGCCTTGTGGGCATCCTGCTCAGAATCAGAATCCAGAGAGAACATATACTTTTTACTTTGCAATCCACACCCCAAGGGAGTCACATACAGATGTTTTACATTAACTCAGCCTTCAGGGTAACCACAGGTGGGGTGGGGTGGTGAGCAAGCACACAGAACAATAAGGTTATTTAAGTCTTAGGTCAGTCTTAGGATGTCTCTGTTGATTAACCAGGCAGTAGGGCCTCCTAGCCTTTTGGTTACTAACAGATCTGCAAGTAAAAGTAGACTCTCAAAGTTACCTGGCCTTTCCAGGTGACATCTTGTTTGCTGCCGAGCAAGGTGACATTATAAAAATCCCACAGCAGCTGCATTGAGTAAAGTGACTTGGCCCACAGTCACCCTGTAGAACAGAATACAATTGCCCAGTAGGGTTTCCTAGGCTGTAACATGTATGGAAGCAGATTACCACATTTTTCTCCTGCGGGCAGCTCGTGGGATTGAACCACTGACCTTTTGGTTAGCAGCCAAGTGCTTAACTGCTGCGCTACCAGGGTTCCTGGAGTCATACGTCAGCAGGCAGCTCCTCCAAGTGAGTCCTTTGAACCAGCTTCAAAAAAATCCAACAAAACCAAACACCTCCATCGAGTTGATTTCAACCCTTAAAGACCCTGCAGGATAGGATAGACTGGCCCCTGTGGGTTTCTGAGACTGTAACTGTTTACCAGAGTAGAAAGCCTCATCTTTCTCCTGAAGGCCAGCTGGTGGTTTTGAACTGCTAACCTTGGAGTTGGCATCCCAACTCGTAACACACTATGCCAATAGGGCTTCTTGTGAATCGGAACTGCTATCCCCCAATTGCTCTGAAAGTCCGCTGATGGGGGCTCTGGCTCTGTCTGTGCTGGAGAGCAGTAGATCTGGGCAGGACCCCGAGTCTGGCTAGTGGGGAGGTCTCTGCAGGAGCCCACAGCTGCTGTGGCTTCGGAGGTGTGGTTCCGGTAGGCAGCACGAGCTGAATGGGCCCTGGAGATGTCGGAGAGGCGCTGCTCAGAGAGATGGAGGGGCCTGGGTGACGAGGGTGACCTGAAGGTCTCTTTGCACCTCCAGCAACGATGCCACTTCCTTGCAAGTAGCTCAGTCAACGGCAGTGCCATGGATGTGGCTGGAAGGAGGCTCCAGCGAGAAGGGAACCTAGTTTAGCTCTTAGGTTAGGAGAAGGCTCCTCTGGAGGGGCCAGGTTGGGGATATGTTGGCTCCTGTGGGCTTGTTTGAATTTTCTTCAGATGCAACCTGAAATCGCATATGAGCAATTGGTGTCCTGTTCCACAGTTGGCCTGAGACCAGGTTTTGGCTGATGATATAGTTTTTCTTATCTCTTCTCACAGATGAGTCAAATTTTAGAAGGAAGGGAGCCGTTTGCAAAAGGACAGAGGTGCTGGAGCGCCCCCACACCCCCAGACGCCCCAAGGCCTTTTGTGTGAAACCCATGTCACAGCAAGCAAACAACTTAGCATGACATAGAAAATCCTTTAGTCTTAAAAATCTGCCCCAGTCTTTCTGAGAATTTCCCCTACCCCCTTTCTCACAGCCCCTGGTCCTGCTGGTCACCCTGCCTTTAGCTCTGCTTCTCCCCTGTCTCCCATTCTGCACCCCCCTCAGTTCCTGCTCATTCTGGAATCTCTCTCTTACCAAGGGCTTCACCTTCCGCCCCCCCAAAGGCTTATCAGGATTGAGTTTTCAATACAAAGATATTTCCTGTTCCAACTTGGGTACCAGCTGTCTCTTCCCCTCCCCTATCCCACCCACCCACACTCGTGGCCTGGTGATTACATTCTCTGTATGCACTGGGCCCTCCTAGGCAGTGAGCATGGGGCGTGTTCATTTTGACTGTGCCATTGGCCAATGCCATCCTGAGCTTCTCCTCCACCAAGCACCAACATGAGGATCCAGCCGGAGCCCGCTCGGCTGGGCCCCCTGTTCTCCGGGACCACCTCCGACCGGGGTCACAGACAGTGGCAAAAGGATGGGATCTCATGTATCTTCTGTAACCCGGTTCTCCAGTTGCGCACCCAC